CCTGGCTGTGTGCAGTCCTCAGTGGCAAGCCCTCATCCCGGGACTGGGTGCTTGGTAGAGAAGTGACACATATGGCCTGTTAGCAAGGCAGAAAATGGCAGTGATTTAATAATACTAAATAAAAAAATCCATGGTTCTTGCATCCATTTTGCTCTGGTGATCCCTGTGTCATGCAGTGACACTGCATATACTGCAGTGACAGCTGCTAGCATTTCTTTTTATTTAATAGATATTTAAAAGTGAAATGCACAAGAGCAGATTTTCAGCCAGGGTCCAAGGCAACGAGTCATGCTGCTCTGGGCATGGTTTGACATGGGTTTGGGCCGTGCTGGCTGCTCAGCTCCTGCCCACAGCCACACCGCACTGCTTCCCGTGCAGCCGGCGCTGCTGTGAGCACTGTGTGCTGTGGGGTGACGTTCTGACTTCCTCAGATGAAAGACACTGTAGAACTTCAACTATTCTTTGTCTGATGATGCGTGCTTCACTGCAGGCATTTGCTTTAGTCTACATGTTGGCCAGATGTTAAAAAGGTAATTGGAAGGTTGAGAAAGACCTCTACAATCCCCAAGTCCACCCCCACCCCACTGTGCCCACTGCCCACATCGCTCAGTGCCACATCTCCAAGGCTCTGAACGCCTCCAGGGATGGTGAGCCCACCTCCACAACTGGTGCAGCTATGCCAGTGCCTCACTGCTCTTTCTGAGATTAATTTTTTTCCTAATATCTAATATCCTGGCCCCACAGCCTACAGTTTTGCTGCTTTCTGAAGCAGTCACTGTAGCTGCAGAAGCACAGCCTATGCAAGGCAGGCTCGGGCTGAGAAGGACTGCAGGCAGCTCCTTCTCCTGGCAGGCTGCAGCAGACAAAGCTTGCCACTATGATTGCCACCGTGCACTGCATGCTGCTGCATCCCCTGTTCCTCTTCCTCTGGGCCTTCCTTCCTCTCGCAGACAGCAGGCTGGTGGCTGAGGGAAGCAGCAGCTTCCCCTTGGGGTGGCTGAGCTCTTGTCTTCATTCCCTGCATTTTGGCAGTACGGGGACTGCAGACAGAGCAAAATGTGTTATGTGGGGGGGGGGCTTGTCTCTGTGTTTCTCTACAAGCCTAGCAAGCATACTGATTTGAAATTCAACCAAGCCAGATTTCTCATCCTTAGTGTTGTGTAAAGGCAAAAGTGGGCACATTTCTCATCAGTTTGTTCAGGGAAGGCATGTTTCGACCCTTCTTCATAGTGACAGTTCCTCCTGGGAAAGCCAAATTCCCTTTTGGTGCGTGGTGGCCAAGGTCCCATCATGCTTAAAGTGCTGCTATTTGTGGCTCTGCTGCTGAGCTCCAAGCACTGCCAGTGAGCTGGGGAGGAGAGAGCATGGGGCACAGGGCTGCTGATCTCCCTGCCCTGCGTTGTCACCCACAGACTCGTGGGCCTCCCAAAGCACACTGCCACTCTGCAGCACTTTCCTCACCTTTGGCTGAAAAGATGGAGGCCTGAGCCTTGTAGGAAGGAGTTAGTCTAGAATGGAAAATGTTCTGAAAGTGAGGGGGGAGGAAACTTTCAAAGCCACTTTGATGAGAGAGGAAAAAGTCTGCATACCTTTGAGAACACCATGGCATTGATTCCTCTTTTGTTCACTTGCATGCGGGTAGGACAGGTTTAGTTGTGGTGGGGTGTATGTTTTGGACAGGCTAAATTGTGGTGCTGGTGCCCAAGTGAAGTATTGCTTAGAGCAGCACACTGAAATGTGAGGTTGAGGAAAGATATCTCTGAAGATCAGCTTTGGTCTTCAAACCGGTTTCAACTTTGCTTTACGATCTGCAGGCTGCTTCAGGCGTGGGGTGGCTGTTCTTCTCACTTCTCAGATTTCTGAACACTTGAAATTGTTTGATGTGATAAGCTGCTAGCGTGACATTTATTTGAGAATATGAGTTTTTATTTAAGCTCTGTCTGTTTTATGCTTTTTTCAGCTGGTGTTTTTCATCAGAATGAAGTGATGTTGGCCTGTCCCTGCAGGGCACGTGCCTGCTTTGCCCATGGCGAGTCAGCACTGCCTGTGCTTTGCTCTGGGCTTGGATCCTGCCTCAGCTGCCTTCTGCTTGCAAATCATGCAATAGTTTTTTTTGGAAGGCTATAAGAGGCAATTTTCCAACTAGCTCGTACACTTTCTATTAAAGCAGTTATTTCAAAGGGATTTGCAGGGCAATAGTAGTTTTTTAAAAGTTCAGTATACTATAATATATATAGTTCTATAACATTTGAAGTCAGTGGAGTGGCATTGGTATAAAGTTTTGCTCTCACGTAGGACTGGGAAATTTCAGATGAGATAATCCATCAGGGAAGAACAAGATCTAGAAAGTCTGGGGAAAAACCTGTGCACGGGTTTTATCTTTTTTCTGTTTTCTTTTTCTTTTGGCTGAACCACTCTCATGCTTGATGATCTTTCAATTGCTGTATGAGTCTACCCACTGCAGCCTGGGAATCACGTTCTCAACTGAACAGATGCTAACTAGTTGTAGAGCGTTGGTGGAGTAACGTACCATTGATAAAAATGCCCCAAGGGGCAGTCAGCACTCTCTTGTGTCGTGGAAGCCTGGCCCAGCCAGAGAGGATGATGGAAGAGCCCCAGGTCCAAAAGCAGCTCTGCTGCAGGCTGCTATAGGCTGCTGAAGGAGGCATCTTGGATGGGTTCTGCAGAATGGAGACACAACTATCTTTCCTGTAGCCCTGAACTACAGGTAAGAGCTGACAATCAGTCTGAGAGTCACATGTGAAAGGGGAAGAAAGCACAGTGCTGGAATAGTGGGCTTTTTTATTGCATGGTACTAAGAAGCTTGTTGTAAAAACAGCATTTGGAGTAGCAGTTCTGGGCAGGCTGGGAGACATGAGGGGAATAATAATTGTTTCTGAAAAGAAGAAAGCATCGTGTGTTTTGCCAATAGAGTGATGTATGTGCATTAGCTGGACACGCGGGCTTCTTTGTAGTAGCTGATTTATTCTTTTTCGATATTCTGTTTCTGAGTAAGTCCTTCCAAAGGAGTAAGCTAATCCATGTGAAATATAGACTTCTAATGGCTGTTTTTGATTAGCACTTTTTTTTTTTTTTACTACTAGGACAATGCCTCTTTTAGCATGCGGTATCTGTGAGTCCCTGGGAGAAGAGCTGGGTGTATGAGGGATTCACATTCAGGTTCTTGTCATTTGTCTCTGAATTAGAAGTAACAGTGAGAAAGAAAAAAATCTCTACTATTGTGAAGTCTGAGAATTGAAATGGCGAAGTTGTGTACTTAATCAGGAAAGCTTTTGTTGTTGTTTTTGAAATGTCAAATGCTTTTCAGTTTTATTCATCATCAAAAGTGTTCTGTGCAATCTCGAGTTGCTCGGGGTTTTTGATTGCTGTTCTCAGTGGTTTAAAAATACAACCGACAGGAGATTCTCCAGAACTAACAGTAAATTGGGCAGAGGAGGCTGTATGTAAAATTCTGATCTCAAAAGTAATATAATTTTAGCTGGAGGTCAAGGACGTAATTCAGAGATGATATTTAAATTTAAGTTCATCTTGAAAAGCAGTGAATTGAAGGTGAGATCTTCTTACTGAAAATATATGCTCTTTTTGTGCTAGAAGATTTGACTACTGTAGTAGCCCTGTAAAGCCAGCACAGCTGGGCTCTTTTCCTGCTTTCTCTTCCTTCAGAAATGCCAAGTATACTCAGACAGGTCTTCTCATTCACAAGCAAAATGTAGTCAAATTGAGTTATATACAACATCACTTAGGGCCCACAGAGAAGTGGCACTGGTGGTGATAAGAAGGAGGACAATACCCCAATTTGATTTCTATATTCTATTCTCTGAGTTTGCATGGCATGAGCAGGCTGAATCTATGTCATGGCTACCATCACTTCCATTCTTACAGATAATTTTCATAAAAAGATCTCTGTTTCTTTCATTGAGCAAATTAAGTTTCTTTCTGTAAATGAAATCTTTTCTTGTCTGCCATTGACAATGCATGGCCATGCACACAAGCACCGTCATAGAGAGCCCTGGCACATCAAACTTCTCCACCCACATCTACAAGAATCCTCGTATCCTTTTCCTCTCTGCCTATGAGGTCTGTGGACTTATTCCTTTTAAGATTATAAAATTATCTTTTCCAAGCATTTTTATTCCAATAAATAGTTAGAAGACAAGGTTATTGCCTCATTAGTCCCAACAGTGTTTATCATAACTTTGTGCCATGTGTCACAGTTGCTACCTGGTGGTTTTTAAGAAGCTCCTGCAATTCCTCAGTCTTGTGCTGTGCTTGAAATAGAGCTATTGCCAACCAGTGCCATAATATCAGCAACACCGAAGCAGCTTTTTGTCTTGTACAGGAAAAATATAAACAGCTTTGCATTTGCTGAAATCACAGGGCAGTAGGAAGGGCCCTCTGGGACCAGCTGCCTTCTCACAGCAGGTATTCCTCCAACACAAGATCAGATCATTTCTGTGATAAATCTGACTACATGTTGGAAACATCCATGAGTGGTTATCACACGGCTTCTCTAGGCAATCCCTTCCAGTGTTGCATTGCTCTCTTGTGGAGAAGAGGGTAGTTCCCCCTGGAAGGGTACTGTCAATGACTTATGGAGAGATTTTCCTCAGAACTTTATTATCTAAACTTCTGGGTGTGATCATCTTTCCTGTTTTTACTTTTTTCCCTGTTTATTTCTGGTAATTCGGTTGTTCTTCAATACCGTAGCTTCAATACCGTAAACATGAAGTATTTTCTGGGAAGCAAAATCCTCAGCTAAGTCTTGGAGCTGTTTTAAGGAGAAAATGAGCTGGGAACGTTTGGATTTTGTGTTGAGGGATATGGTTTAGTAAGAACTATTGGTGATAGGTGGATGGTTGGACTAGATGATCTTGTAGATCTTTTCCAACCTTGGTGTTTCTGTGATTCTGGGATGAAATAGGGAGATAAGGATCGTCTGCTGCTGTCAGACTGGGGAATTAAAATGTATTTTCAAATCATACATTTCACACATACAGTTTATTTTCTAGAACATGTTCTTTCCAAAACACACATCTCATATGCAAAGTAATGCAAAAAGTACAAGAAAGAAAGGCTATCTCATACTGAAAAGGATGCAGGTTTCTGAATGATCGAGGCAGTAGCAAATAATGTTTTGCAGACCTCCTGTTTTGTAAAACTTCTCTTTCAGCGTAACAGCAGATTATGGCAAAGGTGATGATAAAAACCTGTTTGTCTCTGAGCTCCTCTCATGACTCAGCTGGGCAATATCTAGTATTAGTGAGCTGTAAAGCACTCTTACATTAGGTCCAGTATGAGATGTGTACAGCTGCCCACTTGTGCAATCAGTCATTTATTTAGAAATCAATTGACTGAAAATTCTATTTTCGAAACTAGTCCTGTGTCTTTTGTTTCTTTCCTTCAAACAGAAGCCAATTTCTTTTCCAATTTTAAATAAAAGGAGTATCTGCCTCAGAAAAAAGACCTGGTTCCCACAATTTAAAGCAATTTTATGGCTGTTTTTTAAAGACACAGAAATGGATTTCTTGATGTGAAAGTGCTTCTGGGTAAGAGCATAAACCATAACAATATAATGGTACAAGAAATAGGAGGCTTACATTGCAATAAGGAAGCCTTTAGCTTCAACTCAGGGCTGAATGTACAAACGGCCCAAGGGCAGTGACACACCAGAAGAGCTGGCACAGAGTGATTAAGGCACGTCCAGAGACATTTTGTGAAATGGAAAGTCCAGACTAGGAGGACTCCTCTGAGGAATGAGTTTGACAGAGCTGATCCAGTGTTTCGTCTGGGAGCCTGGAGTACATCAGACAAGTGCTCCCAACTGTATTTCATGCTTGTGACGTTGTACTTGCTTACGTACGTTCTTCTTCCCCAAAAAAGAATGAGAAGACAGGCAGAAAATTTTCATACATCTATCTTGTTATATCTTAGAATGATTACCTACGCTTCCGTATGTACAGCCTTTCACTAAATGCAGTATTTGAAGGGGTTATTTTGTTTTTAATGTGCAAAAGCTGTTTTAAAGTTGCAGGATAAAACCATGCTAATTCCTGAGCGACAATTATCAGAAAGGTTTGTTGTTTGTTGCTGTTACCCAAGATGGGGTGTTGTATAAAGACGTGTTGTCATGTCCTGGGCAGCCTGGTCCTATGTGGAATAGCCCTGGCTGGTGTATGATGGTTTATAATGCTTATGGGAGGGCCAGCCAAGATTTTGGAGCAAAGGAGCTCCAACAGAGACCTTCTGCAGGGTTTCCAGAAGGAAAGAGCAGAGCCAGGCTTTTGGCCAGATACTTTCTTGTATCTCTTAGTTACCTTCTAAGTTAGCAAGAAGGTGTTGAAGTTATTTCTGTGTTTGACTGGCCCAGAGCAACAAGTTTCTGATCACACTGGTGAAAGGAAAACCACTGTGGTGATGGCAAAGGCTGATTTTAATTGGCAGTCCAGTGACCTTGGTAGTTTTCCTCTGACAAGCCTTTCAGTTTAATAGATTGCATCAAGGCTAATGCTTCTTTTGGCATCACTGATATTTTCATAATGCTGGTTCTTTTTTCCCCACATTCTTCCCCTTTGATCTCTAAAAAAGAAGATAAATATTCACATTTGTGAGAAAAATATTGTCCTTCTCCCTCCTGTGCCCTTCCTGCAACGGCCAAGCTGGCCTTACTGCCATGTTGGGAATAATGCTGTCAGTGTTCTACCTGCAGGGCAAGTGGCAGCCAAGGAAGAGGCATTCTTCTATTGCAAAAGGTCCTATCATGTGGCACAAGGCTTAAAGACAGGGCATCGCTGAATAATTTTTTTCAGGTGTGTTTTTTCACGGAATTCTTTGGCAGCGAAGTAATAGAAGATGGCATCCAGGCAGCAGTTGAGGTTGGCTAGTATCATTGACACCTGGATGAAGAGGCTGATGGTTTGTTTCAGGAAGCAGTCCACTATCACATGCTGTCTTACCAGGCACTGCAGGCAGATGGCAAGATGGACAGGTGTGAAACATACCAAAAAGACAACAAGGTTGATGATAATGACTCGTAAGGAATCTTCTACTTTCTCTTTGGCTCTGTTTTTGTGATTCAGAAGAATCCAGATGTTTTGTGCAGAGCAGAAAACCATCACTGAGAGTGGAATCAGAAATCCGAAGATCTCCACAGAAACGATGAGAGGGACACTCCAGGCCTCATCTGACATGTTGTGAAAACATTTTAAAGAATCTTTCTTTTGAAACACATATATTGGGCTGCTGCAAAGCCAAGCTACTGCCCAGATAAAACAGCAAATCAAGATTGCCCACCTGGGGGATTGGTTAGCTCGACCTTCAAATGGATGCTTTAAGCAGATGTACCTATCAACAGTAATGCAAACAATGATGAAGATACTGCCATAGGTATTGACAAAGTACAGTGACTGTATAAAGGCACACAGGAGTCCGGGTGCTTCTGCAATAGAGTAGTGCAGCTTAAGTGGGAGGGAGAGAAGCAGCAGAACATCTGCAAGTGCCAGATTGATCATATAGACTGAGGTTTTGGTTTGTTTCTTCCAAAAGCAGCAGAATACTGAGAGGGCCAGGGTGTTGAGAACCAAGCCAAGAATGAAGGTGGGGATGGAGATCCCAAACCGGAGGGTCTCTGCTAATCTGTCGATGCTTGTAAAGTTGCATTCTTCACTGATGTTGGTCATCTCTCCCCTAAACCACAGAGAGAACATGTTAGAGTGTGTAAGGCTCCTCTATATACTTGATACATCTTTTACTTAGGCGTGAACTGAATAATTGCATTTTCTAGTATTTAACCTTCAGCATTGGTTAAATTTTGGATTTGCAAGTGCTTTAAATTGCAGTTGATAGCCTCAGGTAATCTGGCAAAGAACAGCAAATGGAAGGCATTGCATCTTGATAGTTCTTAAATATATACATACATCATTTGTGTGGCAAAAATGTTATAATTCTTAAACATATATACATATAAGTCTTAACAAGCTATTCCTTACAAATACTTTCCATAACCTCTTTAGACTAGAATCACATTTAATTCTAATGAAGAAGAAAAAAAAAATAGGTTCAGGTTTTCAGTTAATCTCGACCAAACAGGTAGCTCAAAATAAATTTTAGGAATAAGTGAAGAGCTTTTAAGACAAACTTGATCAAAAGAAGAATCTGCTTCGGAGAGCAGAAAGTGATGTGTAGCTCATAAGCACTAGCAAGTGGTCCTAGACTTTTCTACAGAAGCCAAAAAAACAATTAGTAGAATAATTTTTGTTTACTTAGCTAAAATAGAAAAAGAAAGAGAGAAAGAGCAAGTAGAAATACTAACAGAGGAAGTGTCCATGTGCCTTGCCAAACCTTCTACCTCTGCTTTTCATGCACATGCTGGTGTTGTGCTGGACAACAGAGGGGGGGACTTACTGCAATCAGTGGGTGATAATATCTGAAGTAGATGATCTGGGAATATCTGCATCTGAACAGAGAATGTATTCAGAGTTTAACACGCTTATGCTGGTAAATAATCTTGTTTCCAGCTCAAATTACTAAAATAACTGGCACACAAATCTGAAGTTCCAACCTAAGAAGTACAGAGTATGCTATTGCTGTATCTGGAAAAGGATCAGTCTAGCCTATCTGTTAAAGGAAATGAAAGTAAACATGATTTAGACAAAAGTAGAAGTTTTAGGCCAAATCCTCCCTCAGATTTTAAATAAAAGAAAAACTGAAAACATGATAATCTAAATGAAGCCTTGGCAGATCATGCCAGATCATTAACTTCTCTGATGAAGTATCTGCTTTTTCAGATAAGGCAAAGCCTGAAGGTCAAAGACACTTGCACTAGAAACTGTAATTGAACTGCACTAGAAATAACTAAATACCACTAGATATACTTGAGATTTGAGCAAGAGCTGTTAAATAGGTAAGGAAATGTTTACACAAAAGCTGGTGAGGCCTGCAGACAGGCTGAATGAAGGTCATCAGGGAGATGCACAAAGTCGCCCAGCCCAGTCCTTATTAGGTTCACCTGGCCACCCCATTGCTGGTATGGATGCGACCTGTAAGGATGTGCTGTTGGCCATGGGGCAAGATCTGGCTGGCATCTCCAGAGGACTGAGCAACTCTCCTCTGAATTTAGGAAATGCAAAAGGAAGTCTGACTGTTATCAGTGGATTTATCTGTCGGAAATGAGAACAAAAAGAAAACCTTGGTTTGTTAGTCAGACTGAGATTGAGTCAGTCTCTTTGAGCTAGCAAGGTGAGGCAGCTGCTTATAAAGTCATGTGATTGTGGTGCATGGTAAGTGAGAGAATGCCACCAGAGCTGGGGATGCACCAGTGCAAGATGTGCCAGGGAGTCACAGGCAGAAGCTGCTGTTACCTGGGCCAGGACAGGTAAGAGGAGATGGGGGTGTGTTGTGTTGTTGTGTGAGCATGTGTGTCCTATGATCAGGAGCACCCATTTAGCTGGGGAGAGATCAGATGGCATGAAACATTTTGGGGGAGAAAAAACAGCTCTTAATCTAGCATTTGATAAATATCAGAAAATTGCTTGTGGCATCCCTTAGAAGTATGAGCTTTGATTCTAACTGTTACTGCATTTGTCATCACAAAATTACAGACAGCACTGCTCCTGAAAATAGTTTCGGAAGGTGTTAGCCAGCCTTTAAAGCCATGGTTTCAGGTGTTCACTTCCAGTGCCTGAAGCTTTTGATCCCATAGCCCACCTCACATTCAAATTTCACATCTCGAGCAACCCACGGGAATTGTTTGCAAACTGTCTGCATGGAGCAACATTTGCCCAAAGTTTCCCAAAGACTCACTTCCATTGACAAATAAGCTCAGGCATCTGATAAGCTTCATCTTTATCACAGCATCCAAACGATTAACAAAAATACTGAAGCTGAAAGATGCGGAACTGAATACATCTTTCCCGTCTGACAGATCGAGGAGTACCTCAGTGAGTTGATCACTCATGTATAAGTTTCATACAGATAACATTTCCTTCGTTTGGTTATGAGAATTTCTTTATAGACAGTGCCCAAAGCCTGCTCTCCCCACGCTCAGTCAGGGTTGGCTGACTGTGACAAAAGAAAGTCAAATTACTTCTATTTCAAAGACTTTCAGACAAACCTGTGTGGGTTGATACTTACTGCTGAGATGTCGTCTGGGTGCTCACAACAGATTCTGCAGCGGGTGACTCCAGTCCAAATACCGAAGCCAGGCTTAGAGATTTACCATTTCCCAACTCCTCTTCCACTTTCTTAAGAGACAGGCAACGTGTTTTCTCTTCTGAAGAGAATTTTTTCTGCCCTCTAAGAGCGTCCTGAAGAAATTGCCTGCAGCCCCAGGATTGCTTCAGCTTCTGGAAGTCAAAGGATAATGTCAGAGCCTGGACTTAGCGCCTCTCAAGGCAGACTGCATGAGCTGGAGCAGACCCAGTGCTGTCACTGCTCCGCTTGTTCTTAATTCTTCCTACTCAGTGAGGATTTTCCACTTCCTATGCACTATGCAAGTATTCATGGTTTACCAATGAGCAGAAGCTGGTGGTTAAGCTAGCAGCAAATGTAATGACCTAGGAGCACCAAGGTTTTATAGTACTAACTTTCCTCGTTTTTTTTTTTTGCAGTACAATAGGGTGCATGAATGGTTTTCATTTTATAGCTCAGATTGGAGTTCATCTGGCTCTAGCTGGGATTCCCACAAGTCTGTATGTTAGCACAGGTTGGGGATGATGAAGTAAGGGCATAGTAATCCATGAAAGCTTCATTCATAGGAAAGTTCGTCATTAAATCTATGACTTACTCTAAGCATAGGTGTAGCTTTAATAAGGAAATGTTAATCAGATGAAAGAACAAAGCAAACCAATCATTCTCGATCTAGCTGTAATATAAAAGAGGAATGAGGGAAATTCAGCTTACTGCTTCAGCAGGGACTTTTACAGCACTTACCATAATTACCCTTTGCTAATTACAAACCACGTAATGTTACTGCTATGAAGCAGTCTTTGATTGTATCTGTTTTCTAGATCATTATTTGTGTTAGATATGTTATTCTCTCATGAATATGCAAGATAACAGAAAGATGGCTTAGTGCAGTAAAAAGTCGTAAGTCCACATCTGCTATATATTTTATCTGTAGCTGGAAAATCTCTTACCACTTTATACTAAACATTTTGATTGCAATGAAATATATCTATCCTTATCTCTGAAACTAAAAATCTTTTCATTCTCTAAGACAAACCACACTACATAGTTCATTAATTTTTTTTATCCTTATAAGAAATAATTATCAGACAAGCCTAACAATAATACTCTGCACTCAATGCTAGTGTTTAATTGCTGGAAAAAAAAAATCAATTAAAAGACAAATTCTTTTACCTGAATCTTAGCAAGAAGTTCAGCAGGATTGCTTCAGTCCAGGTTGTTCTACAGAACACGAGAGCATTTGCTTAAAGACCATGCTCTGCCAGTACTCTTACTAAATAACCACATCCTTCTTTCCTTCTCACTCTTTTTTTTTCCTCCCTATTTCAAAGGGCACAGCTCTGTGTTTTGTGTTTCTTTATATAGATGAGTGAAGGTGAGAGAGTGTAAAGGCTTGAATCCTCAGCTGTTTCCAGCAAGTAGTTGGCATGGGGAGAGCAGTTTGTCCCTGGAGCCAGGCCTGACTGTGGACTGGCCTTCACTTGGTGTGAAGCAGCCAAGAGCCGTTACAGGTATGTGGTGACTACCCCCAAATTGCAGATTGTTCATTGTGCTGGAGGGAAGATGGACAAGTAGAAAGTTGTAGGAGAGACAGTCATAGAAAGAGGGCTTTTCCCCCCAGTTCTGTCCAATTTGCATGCTGGAAATCAGCGGTGCTGCACTCAGCTGCTTCTGAAAGATTCAGCTACTTATGTGTGCGCAGCTGTTAAACTATTTAAAGCCAATTCGGGTGTTTGGTTCGTGGCTGGAAGGCAGCAAACAAATGCTTATTGGCAGGAGGAGCGAGGTGTACGGAGCTCTAACCTGGTAGATAACGTGTGAGTCACACCGTAGCCAGGACACACTCTCAAAATGTGCTGTCCCTCAAACTCCCGAGACACACAAAGCTTTCAGAGATTTTTCATCATTAGCACTTTCCTAACGGAGTGTGAAGGTCTTCCTCTGCTTTGGGAGCTGTCATTTAATGTACAGCATTTGGAAAGGTAATAGTGCTTACAAAGAGTGAAACAGCAGAAAAATGGGAGCGTTAATCCATTGCCATCTTCAGGAGCTAACAGACAAGGGTGTAATGCTGAGTTGGACTCAAAGCTGTTGGTCTCAGTCCCTAGATGGCTGTGGTCTGGAGGCAGGGCTGTCAGGTGGTCATGTTTGCACCAAGTGACATAATACACAGGAGAGAAAACATCACTGCTGATCGATGACATAGTGATGTTCTCTTAAATAATAACTGTGCCCTCACACAACAGAACTGTAAGAAGAAAAAACCCTAAATATAGTGTCATATATATAAAATATATAAATAAGTAAAGATATATGTACACACATATATATATGTGAAATTTGGCACTTCACATATATGAATAGAAGCAGTCCGCCTCTGGACCTCCTCTGGTTGGAGTGTGAAACTCACCTGCTGGTGCCAGGAACCACTGCTGTGTGTTGTGGTAACTGCTGGCTGCTCATTTACCTTACACATTGCAATACTCCAAACTTAGGGGAAAAAAAAAAAAAAAAAAAGGTAGCTCTAAATAGCTCTAAGTGACATTTTTCACATTGCCACCTGTTTTTGGAGGTAATTTAATCTTTATAGAGAAGTTCTGTTCTTACCACAGAAAAAGTAACGCCAGTACTGTGGCAATTTCTGAACACTTTTTTTCTACCTGCAAATGAGATTGGAAGAAAAAATAAAGGAAAATAGAGAACCCAAGCAAAGCTTGAGTAGAGTTTGTAACAGGATTGCATAGCTGAGGAAATAAAGCTAGGACGATTCATAATGTTTTAGAAACATGTTATAGAACTGAGAGGTTCTAAGGGCTTTCCAACTTCTGTCTTCTCTGAGCTGTGGGCTAGCTATGGGTCACAGCAACAGACCATTATAAGTCTGAAGTCGTGAAAAGAAATCTAAGAGTGCACCTAAACATTAACTAAACATTTTGCTCAAGGAGGCTGTGGATGCCCCATCCCTGGAGGCATTCAAGGCCAGGCTGGATGTGGCTCTGGGCAGCCTGGTCTGCTGCTGGCGGCCCTGCACATAGCAGGGGGTTGGAACTGGTTGATCACTGTGATCCTTTTCAACCCAGGCCATTCTATGATTCTATAATTAAAAATGCACTTTTATACCCAGGAGTGGATTCATTGCTCATGGCTCTGCAAATTTCCCCCTTGGTGATGCTTGGCGAAGCAGAACTAAAAAATCAGCATTTCTGCACACCGACCGCATGGTTGCTAAGTTGGCAGTTTGCTTGTGATATGTGTGGGTGCATCGCTTTTATGTAAGCACATAATTTGTTGGTACACAGATAAGTTGTGCTTTTGCAGGCTAGCTCTTCATTAAAAACTAGTACAGCTTAAATCTAGAGCATGTCTAATCTGGGCAAGCTGTGAATGACTCACTGCCATACCTGCAGATAGATTATCAGCTGAGAAATTAGAGCTTGTTTCCCCTTCTCTTTGGTGGCTGCTTATTTAATTTTTCCCAACAAGTGCTATGTGTGATCATGCTCAGCAGGGGATATTTCTGTGAGTTTGGTGTTCCCAGTGCCTTTATCACCCTGCTATCCTGCTTACTAAATGCTTAATTCTAGAGATGCAGGCAGATACGTACACCTCTAAGGTTTTTGATGGGAAGGAGATAGGATGTTATTGTTTGCTTCAGTTTTTTGCTTCTCTTTTTTCTTTTTTTTTAAATTAACCACAGAAATGTGGTAAATGCCTATTACTAGCCCTGCCTAGAGACAACAGTTTCATCAACCTTATCCTTTTGCTCTTAGTGTACTGCAGCTAGAAAACAAATAGTGGTCAGTGGGAAAGGAATAACCTAAATAATAGTCTGAGTAACTAGAACAAAATATAAAAGCGAACAACTTACAAAGCTTATGGCAAAGATAAGGCTGAGAGGCTGTTCAGCCTGGAGAAAACAGAGGGGGGATTTTATCAATGCTTATACGTTTGTGATGGGTGGGAGTCAAGTGGGCAGGGCCGGGTTCTTTGCAGTGATGCCCAGCAAGGGGCAATGGGCACAAACTGGAACACAGGAAACTCCATACAAACACAAGGAAGAAAACTTCTTTGAGGGTGACAGAGCCTTGGAATAGGCCGCCCAGAGTGCTGGTGGGGTCTGCTTCTCTGGAGATACTCAGGACCTGCCTGGACACTTTCCTGTGCAACCTGCTGTAGGGAAGTTGCTTTAGCAGCGGGGTTGCGCCCAATGATCTCCGGTTGTCCCTTCCAGCCCCTGCAATTCTGTGATTCTGTGGGTTTCTTTAGGGACTGGTGATTTTTCTCCATGTTTTATCCTTTATGGGCAAGTGCTGCTGTTGCTAAACCAGGTAGCACTTGTCATTTTCAAGGACTCAAAGCCTGTTTCAGAGGAAACACATCCATACATTGCGAAACCACATTCATGAATGCTGCTGTTCTTTTTTTAGTGGAAAATGTATCGAAGCAAATTTGCAGTTCAGCTTTCACAAATGTCTAAAATATGTGTTTGCTTGTATTTAATGGCAAGAATGGAATGAGCTTAGTTTCAGATCTAGAATTAGGATGCCTAAATGCAAATGAATCAGATTTCAAAGATGAGGTCTGACAGATTTCTGTGCCTCTCTGGAGGCGTGTGTGACTTGCTCTCCCAGATAACTATAGAACATAGACTTAGATATCCAGAACACAGAGTCAGGAAAAGAGATTGCCAGTGAAGAGCTGAAAGGTGAGTGAAAAACTGTGTTCATCCTTGGGAAGAAATTCTGGATGCGATGAAGAAGTGGAAGGTTCATCAGCCCAGACCTGAGTCTAAGCCCATCTCAAAGTAATCTTCAGTGGTGTACTGTGAGTGGCATCTGATATTTTTGTGTGTCATAATGGTTTCAAATACTGGATGTATAAATTGAGTTAAGATAATAAGTTGTCTTGTTCTGAGCAGGCTACCATTGCTTGCTACCACAAAATTGGCCTCTTTTTCCTAAAAGGCTGTTTTCTAAGTTCAGCTCATCAAGTGCACTCATGGAAAGGAGAACTATCCAAAGAGCCAGTGATGGGGAACAGCCAAATTCAGCCTCTGAGACATAGAGATCTTTAATGGCAACAAATACAGTAGCTCTTGGAGCTGGCTGTCTGTGAGTATAGAACTACAGCAGTAATAATTCTGAGGCACAAATCCTCAAGCTGTATCTGATCCAGAAGTTCAACAACAGGACACCAAGCATACGGTGTGGCATCTTCCTCATAGCTTCAGAGGGCCACAATACATATCTGAGAGACAGAGCAGCTTGCATCTTGCCAAAGCACTTCTGGTCATGGATGTACCAAAAGGCTACAACTTCTCTTGGCTATTCATAGCCAGACAAGCTGTGAGCTCAGCCTAGTGAAACTGTAAGAATAGACGCAGGGCTTCTTGAGTGAAGAATATACACAGAGCTAGCTGCACAATTGTGCTTTGCAGCCTGCTCCAGTGAGATTTTCCAGCACACCCCTCCTGTGCCAGCTGAGAAGGTTTGTGGTTACCCTATTGGCTTTGGTGAAGCCCAGGGCAGATGCAGCCTACCAGAATGCACATAATTCTTACAGGTGTTTCCATGGGATTTGTACAGAGCGCATCTTTTGAGGAGCCCCTTGGAAAGGGAAAAATGTGAGGTCACTGTGTTGATCTTCTAAAGTAGAGAATAACTTCTGTTTTATGAAGATGCTATGCTTACCAAACAGTGGCACTGCTGGGGGAAGTGGTGTACAAAAACCTGAGGTTTCAAAGGAAGCAATGGCAAATTTCACATCCATCTGGTAAAAAGAAACAATGATTTGCAGCAGTGTGGATATGAGGCACGCTGGGATCTGAGCAGGTGGAGCACACAGCTCCTCGGCAGGTCTCTGAGCTCTCAGGCTCCTGTGGGTTACAATGTCATATTGCAGGATATTTCTCCTGCCAGACACTATGTGGTTCTTAGACATTATTCTTTTTCCTCACAGCAGGAGAGATCAGATCAGAAAGTGATGTTACGATCACAGTCTCAATCATAGATCATAATAAATAAATGGCATGTCGAATATTTTCCCTTCAAAGACTACAAATATTATTTTCTTTGCGTTTCAGTTATACCTGACCACTGTTGACTATTGGAAGTCAACAACCTTCACTACAGTCTCGCACAGAGTGAAGAAAAGTGGCAGCAGCCGTGCTACCCACACCTGCCTTGCACAGTCATTCCTGTACTTCGTCTGGAGCTGCCTTGTCTGCAGGGTTTAAGCATACCCAGTGTTATGACTTCCTGAAAGATGTAGTTCTGTTGAATGGCTTGAATAGAAAAAGTGCTGACTTTAACAGAAACTGCACTTTTTTCCCCCCAGTTTTCTGTAACATTTCCTTATCCATCTTTCCTCAGTGTAGGGACTGATATTTCTGGACAGAAAGCCTTACACAACCAAGTCCATAACTGCAACGGGCTGGAGTTGAATGAAGATCACAGGTTTGCCTAAAAGCAACATTTCCCCCATCTGTGATGTGTGGCCTAGATTATTGCAGATAGAGTGAAGTCTGCTATTGTACATCTCTGAACTTCTTTGCAAGAGGTCCACTTGGGAAGTTTTGCTCTTCACCACCCTAGAAATGTGTAAATGTTTATTACTAGCAAGCTGCAGTTCATGGTTTATCTTGTGGTTAACAGGGTTTAACTTGTGATACCAGGTTAGCAGTATTTGATGGGAAGGGGCAGGTGGATTGCTGCTTGAGGGTGGCTGGGATTTCCCTCTTCTTGCACTGGGTGCACCTCAAGTCTGGAGGGGCTAGATGGACAAGTGCTCCTTTTCAGCCCTTGACAAGGTAGTGTTCTCATGTTTTCGAATGCAATGATCACCAGAATTGCTCAATGTTGTACAAGAGTGGGACCTCATGAAAGCCATGGCCCGAAGCAACGACTAATTAATGTTATCTCAGCACTGCTATATGTGTGTGTCTTCCACACTGCTTGCCAGCTCACTTGTTGAGAGTGAGAAGGACGTATGAGAGCATGAGAAATCAAACCTAGTTTGTGACTAATAGATCTGATAGGGATCCCTAAGTAGTGATCATACAGCAGATTGAGATCCCTCTCAGGAGTTTAAGAGCATGAACATTAAAAATAGCCTTACTCTTCGTGGTCTCCTGATTGAAATTCTTCTGACGGTAAGCCAAGAAAGCTGTTACTAATTTAATGCAAGACTATTTAATAGCAGAAATTTCATCTGCCTCGCACCTGTATGCTATGGAAGTCTAAAACACATTGTAGCTAGAAAATGGGTGTTTATCTCTTTCCTTCTGAGCCAATGCCACTGAAAGGAGCTGATTCCAGCTAAGGAGCACTGGGTTGAATATAAATTAGTATACTGCGAAAAACATCACTCAAACTGTCTGCATTGAGATGTTTTTGGATCTCTGCAGAATATGCTGCTTCCATTGCAGTTTAAAACACTTTTCCATGCTATAATCATCTCTTTGTTGTTGTTCCCTGTTTAAGGCAATTTGGTCACTGTTACAGAAGGTTTGTGAAGATGTGAAACTGCTGACATAGAGCAAGCCTGAAAGGGAAGCCACAGCTTGCAATCTCTATCGTCTCAGAACCCAAACGCAAGTTTTCAAGGCAGTGCCATGCATGTAGCCAGATGGAAGCATCAAAGCCCATTGCCCTTGAGCCCATTTGTTCCCATCCTGCATTGGCAGCGCCCTGTGGGCACATTAAGTTCCTCAGCTCCAAGAGAAAGAAGCCAGAGCCTGTTGCTGTCCACAAAGAACATCTCCTGTGCTCATTTGCTGCTAGGTTGATGAGCAAAACTGCCTTGAAAGAAGCAGACATAAAATAAGAGGTAAATCATTTTCTCTTCAAACTAAGTGTATCTTAGCTAACAGTTATTCTGGGATTCCATAGGGAAAAAGAGAGTAAAATCAATTATTCAATATGTTTCATTGATGTGTGTTGTCTTTGCATTCTGGGATTTTCCCATTGTAGCTCGTGTAATGCTGAGCTGCCACTACATTTTTCCTGTTTTCAGACCCATGTGTTTTCAACTATGCTTTAATGTTTGGTTGAGCATGTCTCAAAGGGTTGCGGAGGAACGAGACCAGCTCTGACACCACACAGAACAATTAAAATGAGTGGTGCTGCCCAAGGGACAGGGGTGTGTGAGGCATGAGCTGAGGCTCATTTTTCATACTGGTGTTGCCTCAGCTGGATGATGGCAATTAGTATGCCTGTAGCTCCCGTGTTGGCTTAGCTTGGTGTTTTTCTTGAAGTTTCTGCACAAATTACTCTTGTCACAACCCAAGTGCACTGTCAGGGTGCACATTTCAATGCACACCACCCAGTTTGTGTCCCCTCATCTTGGCACTTAGATCTCTGGGTATGAGAATGAGAATGTCAACCTTGCTGCTGCCACAGTGTATCCTGAGAAATCCCTGAGTACCAAAATCCCAGATTTAATCACTGAGATGTTTAATGTGGAGATGCCATGAGTGCTGCTGAGAAACAGAAAGTGCCCAAGAGGAGCTAGTCAGATGTGACCAAAAAAAAAAAAAAAAAAAAGTAATAATAATAATAAAAAAAGAAAAAGAAAAAGAAAGCTTAAGAAAATGCTTACAAGGAGTGATTCCTGCCTTTACTTGAGATAGGTTGGAGTGGCTGCCTCTGTAGGTGGGGGAAATACAACCCGACAGTGCCATCTTGAGGAAGTGGACAAGAGGCATCAAGGTGGGTTTTTGTTCTTGTGATTCTCCCTCTCTCTCGATATAGAGATGTATATGTATATCACATTTTGTTCTGGCTGCCTGCCACTGGCAAGTGTGTTTACACTCAAGTTAGAGTGAACAAATGGCTTCGGAAGTAAAATTGCACTTCGTGTGCATATAATGATGCCACTTACAATGATAACCTTCCAGCTTTCTGCTGCAAACCAAGTTCTAGAGGTTTATTTGTGATATTGAAAAGGTCTATTCCCTTTATCACAAGTGCATTCTTATAAACAGCCTGTATTGAAAAGCCTTTCAATATGAAGAGAATCAAGAAGGCAATCTGCAGGAAAGTAAAAAACCCCAAACAAATGAGAAGAACCTCTCAAATTGCCAAACAGTAGTGGAGTGGCTGAAACTGCCACGCAACCAAAGACAGGCATTTTCTGAACAAAGAGTTAAGCAACAACAACGACAAAAATCTTATGGAACAGAAGTAACTTTACCAGGTTGATCTCTCTTAGGGTGGTTGCTAAGGCCAAGACACTTGTAGAGTGATTGTTCCAAGGCAGATGGAAAACTCATGAAGGTAGGCCATTGGATAGGAATTTAATTGTATTCTTGCCTTGAAGTCTTGTGTTTTGTACTCCTCGCTGACCACAAGGGTTAATTTGTATAAACACACCTTGAGTGACATATCTTGGTCTTAGCAGAAAGGGACTTCAGATTCTTAGAGCGGTCCTTCATGGACCTGTGCTCATCAGCCATCAGTGTAGTCAAAGCAAGTCAGACAGCTGGAAATTCTTTCTCCAGTGTTGCTCCTGTGATGCTTAAATTTTCTAGGCCAGAGGAAGAAGTTCCTTTGCAAACCATTTCACTGAGTCTAAACCTACAATTGGGATTGTTCTTAAGCACCAAGATATACAGTGGCAGCTGTGCAGATACTCCTACAATTCTGCCTTAGTTTTGGCATGGTGAGCTTGTTAGTCAGTCACTAGTGAAACATAAAAGCTCAGCTTGCTCATCACTTCAGCCTTGGCAGAGTTTTCCTGGTGAAATGAGAGCCATCTGGAGTGCCCTGTGGTGCATGGTACTAACATTACACTGTACCTCTGCAAATCTTAGCATTCTGCTTTGTTTAACAAAACAAACAAACAAACAAACAAAAGCCTTAAACTGAAGTTAATTTAACACCACAACACACATCCTCACAGCTTTGACTTTCTGAAGGCAGCAGTTGTATTCCTGTGTTTGCACAGCTAGCCATGCAGCATCTGTTACTTCTCTCTGATCTCCCTTAGCAGTAGGTGGGAATGCCAGCCTTCTGCAGCCTGAAGGAAGGGGCTCTACCCTTCTGCTTCTCATTCATCTCTGATGACTTACAGTCAGAAAATTGGTGCACAAAAGAGCAAATTAACAATTGTGTGAAAAAGCAGTTGATTTTTCAGATTTTTATGTAATCTTTGTACTCATAGGAGCTAGAATAACTCATAACGCTGCAGAACAAATGGATGTAGTTTATGAATGAATGAACATATTGCTTTATAATGATATTGCTTTATGTTGTCACATGTTACGAAAACTACTTTCTCTGTTCGCAGCCTCCTAGGTATTTCAGATGGTACTGACAAGTTTGATGAATGGTTTGGGAAAGGAAGAATGCAATGTGTCATAAAGTTGTATGCATAGTTTTACATGTGGGTTCTAGGTCTTAGAGCAGCTTGGAGATGGAGCATGACTAGATATGAAATGGAAGGTTATGTAGGAAAAAAAAAAATCAATATAGTTATAGAATAAGCAATTGTTTAAGGTTCTGGGGAGCAGCGTTCAGTCTTGCGTGCCTCTCCTAAAAAAAATACAGAGAGGAAAATACAGAACAGCCCAATTCAAGACAGTAAAACAGGAACAAATACAGTGAGATACTTCGAAATGCAGAAGTGGCTGAGCACAGAGTACAAATGCTGAAGTGTGGAGAGCATAAATAGATCTTCAAACACATTCATAGTAGCTATTAAGACAAAGGAAGTAGGTATTGCTATATCCTCACTGCAGATCAGAAAAGAAATAATGGCTTTACACTGCAGCTGGAAATGCTCTGCTCAGAAACTAAAAGAAACTCTTGTAGCTGAAGATAGCTGAGCACCAGAAATACCCCTTGCTGGGAGGTGTTATTAAAAGAAAGTTAGACACATTTCTGCTTGTTGTAACACGGGAATGCTTCAGGTCGCCCTTTTTTAGATTGCCTTTTCTTGCCTTTTCTGCAAGCCTGTGTTTTCACATGCAAAAGACTGGGTTGAATTAAAGGCATTGCCCTGTATAATGTGACAGCTGCATGTGTGTTAGTACTGAGGGTGCAAAGAAGACCCTAGCCAATTAGGCTCCTTGAGTACCAATCAGTGTAATCCCAGTGACATTAACTCTAACCTTTGTATGAGTCCTCTTTATTTTCTGCAGGTTGTCAGTAACCCTTTGACCAGTGACATATCATTGGATTTAATTATGCTATGCCTAATTTTGAATGGATTTGCCTCCTCATCTCAGCCTTGGCTGTCAGCAGTCACCCTGCCCATACACACCATTACACTTTATAAAAAGCATCCAAAAAGTAGACGGATACAGAAAAGGGGAGGGAGAAAGAAAGAAAGAAAAAAAGGATGTGATGAAGAATTACTGCTATTTTTCTTCAGATACATCTTTGCCACGTGTCATTTGTAGACAAGAGTATGTGCTACTGAAGAAGACCTTTCTGGGCTACTCTCAAGAAACTGAGGTAAAGGAGCATGGATCTTATTTTTGTGTTAGGTCTTAAAGAGTTGTTTAAAGGGTATTACTTCTAACTTGCACTGCTAATTCTGCCTGGTTAAAAACAAAAGGTAATAGCTGCATGAAGCTTTTTGTCCTAGAAGGATAGATCATTTGACATCATTTGACTAATGTTTAAAGATCTGAATATATATTATTCTATTGCCAAAAGTACTGGTGCTGTAAAAGATGAGGGTAGAAATATCATGCAGCTGCAGCAGACAGATGCAGATCTGAGGCTTGCTGCTAATTGTTGACCAAGTCACTCTTTTGTGGATCATAATTTAGTAAATAGCCACAAGGAAGATGGTGTGGTCAGCTCTCATCTCCGTGCCTATAAACTAATGACACTTTTTTTCTTCATTTTGATATGCCCAATTATGTAAGATGAATATTTAGATAGTGTTGTACATGTGAGGGAGTTTCTTCAGCAGAGCTTGTTTAGCTCTTCTCCAAACCCTGGTATATAAAGCAATAGTTACAACAAACATGATGCAACCAAAGCTAGTAAAATCACGATGAAACAGGACCACTCACCTTCAATGTTCTCCATTCTTCTTGGCTCTCTCCAGTTCTTAATGCATTTCCTCACTATCGTGATGGACTGCAAAAAGAGATTTTTGTCCTCTTTTCTGTGCTTGTTGTAGGAGACTCATCAGATCTGGACAGTGGAGAAGGGGTTTGATTAAAATCAAATTCATTCTGATAGGTGCTGGCTGCAGCTCATGAGATAGCATGTAGTCAAAAGACAACTTTTTGTGACTACAAAGAGAGAGAAATTAAAATTACAGCTGATAATCATGGGACAAGGACGTGAAGATGTACTCTTCTGATATATACAACAATAGCTTTGAGAGCTTTGTCAGGATGGATTTCAAGAGGCGTGACAGAATTTGCTACTGACAGAGGTCAGGCTTCCCTCTAGTGGTTTGTTACCTTCTGCACAGCCCCATAGCATAGCTAACTTGGGCCTTTTACATTTCATAGCTCTCCCTAGCTTTTGACAGGTGTATGTGGGTGCAGGTGTTTGCCATTCAGAGCAGCCTGCAGCTCAGCAGGATGTACCTGGTGAGACCTGGCTGCAGTTGGCCTCTCTTGCTCTGGCACATATGGGGACATGAGTGCTGACTGTGCTCTGAAAAATAGAAGTCAATAATCTGTTTGGATTTCTAGTTTTAGAAGATAATTCTATGTGTATACAAAGTGATTCCGTTTACTCACTGAAGGCAAAAATAGCTCCTGATGGGCTGTTATATGCAAAATGAGACCTAAAGCACAGACCCCAGTAACCTGGGAAGGCTTCTGTAGGCTTGCAGTCCATCACAGCAAGGGTGGCCTTCTTTTCAGCTTTGCAGTTTGGTGCCAAGGCCCTGCATCTGTCCTTTCCTGGGCTCAGACTCTGCTCATTATGCCGTGTTTGTGTAGGTGGCATTACAGCTGGGACTGGGCCAGCAGAGGACGTGCTGGAGTCACATTTCCCACCAGCCTGAAATCACTAATAAAGTATGATGGACTTATGTCTGAGCCAAAGGAAAAGCCTCTGCTTTCCAGTGACTGAAGCAGATGTCCTTAAAATACCCAATCAGTGAGAAGTGTAGGAACACAGCTTCTTCAAATACTGGTAAAGGTAACTTAGAGACAAATTGCTGCATTGCAAATCAAATTCAACCAACCTACCAAAAAAAACCCACCAAACCCAGTAAAAGCAAAGCAAATACTGCCCTAAGCCTGGAAATCCCAACTGGAGAACACTGACTGGATCTTCTGGCCCATGCAGAACATCTCTCCCATCTTCTCTCCCATGCAGAATCAGGAGTTCAGGAAAATAAAGCAGTTTATACGAAATAAGGCATCTGCTAAACTAACAGTACCTTCTGTTCAGAATTATTAGTCATGGGGGACTCCTAATTTCTCTACTTTTGCAAACCTTATGCATCAGGAACTGAACTTACATAAAAGTTTTTGTCTTTCCCCTCATCCAGCCCACAGCCTCTGCCGTTTCTCCAGATTCTTACTTGCTTTCTTTTCCCCTTACATCCTTTGTGTGCTGCTGCTATGTTTTGTCACCAGTTTAGGGAAGAAAGCAGAAGAAGGCAGTTTTCTGTCCACACTAACGTGCCATTAGTAAATAGTAAATTAGTAAATTTCACTGGAGACTGAGAGTTCACAACATTTTCTCTCAAATCAGCATTATTACAAATAATAGAGGATGATTCATGGCGAGTTTTTCTTTGGCTAACATTATAAAATGAACCTTGAAATATTTTTCCTTCCTTCCTTTTTTTTTTTTTTTTCTTCTTATTTCTGTGTGACAGCTTTGTGGTCTGCAGATATTGCTGAAGTAACTAACATCTCACATTTGTTGGTCTTGAACTGGTTGTTTACTGAGTGAAATAATTTAATAGCCTGAGCTTTGCTGGTCAGACATAGGCTGCTCTGGCACGAGGTGGAGAAGCAAAGGGGCAGATAAGGAAGCTGGAAGATTGGCTCTACTCCCATACTGCACCTTGGTGTGATGTTGGCTGTGGAACTCAGCAGTAAACCAGGGCGGAGAGGATGACCTGATCACTGGAGTTGGGACTTCTCCTGCTGTGCTTGTTGTTGAAGGTGGGCAGCTTGGAGGAGCAGATGTGGAATAACCGTTGCACTGTCCTGGTGCCTGCCTAAGCATAAGGTGATTAGAGGTCCTGTGAAACCACGCTGGCCCTGTGTTAGTGTCTGATGGAGGTTGCTGGCCTTTGCTGACATTGGAAAGGTGGGTGAGGTTACTCCAGAAATAGCACTAACGCTGCTTTTAGAGAAAAGCACTGGATTTTCATGACACCAAGGCTCCCTGCTGCCTGTATCAGCACAGGTTATAAACATGTTCAATAGCAAGAGGGTAAATACAGGCTTGAGGACAAGCTCTAGCAGCTGCTGCACTTACCTGTGAATTCATCTTCCTGATAAGAGAAAGTGGGTGGTTTTCAGTTGCATGCATTCTCCCCAAAGTACATCTGTCAGCCCTGCTGCTTGCCCTTCATTCCACAAACCGCTGTAACTGCAGGGCGGCTGGAGGCTGTCAGTGAGGCTGTGGAAAGGAACAGGCTTGCGCAGATCAACCCTTTCACAAGGTTATGGCTTGAAAGAAGATGGTCACATGCTGTGGTTTTAACATCTGTCCTGTCATAAATCCGCTGTGATGATTCGGTTTGTCAGTGTGCTCACACCTCCAAAAAGTGGGGGTATAGGTTCACAGGCAGCCAGTCTTATGGGAAGATCTGACTTTGGTGTTCCTTTTCTTAATAAACATAAGGTGACCACCACATCTTGGCTTTAGATTAGGGATGGTTCTCTGAAAAGGAAAGAAAAAGAATGTGAGAGGCAGTGCTAAAGACAGATAGGAGTAAGGTACTGCTCGCAGAATTCTTTTTTCTTGCATTTGTTGTGTTTGCTTTTTTGTTTGTTCATTTTGCTTCCTATCAACTCCCCAACACAGTTTCAGGTGCATGAGAAGAAGCTCTTGTGGTTTCTCCTTCTGTATTTCTGGGTGATGTACGATGTGGGAGCTGAAAATGGAAGGAACTTGGCTGAGCACAAAAGTGACAAATGTTATTTAGCATCTTTATTTCACACAGCCCTGTCTGAAAGCAGAGCAGCAATTCGTCTTTCCCTCAGGTTTGCCAAAAAAAAAATGAAAACAAAGTAACAGCTGAATAGGGAAATGTTTCAAGGGAAGCTAGAGTGAGATACCAGGGGGTTGTGTGTCTATGAGAAAGAGGGAAGTGTTGAAATACACCACTGGAGAAAAATCAGCCTTGGGTCATCCTGTGCTGCTCTGCCAACCAAAAGTGTCACCTGCTCTTCCTAAGGAAGTACATCCACCATCCACCCACCAGAGAAGTTACAGATGTGCCAGCAGGTGCTCTCCTCCTGGCTGCACAGCGGGTCCCTGGGGTTTGCCTGCTGCTGGGGGTGGGAACGAGGCCCCTGAGGTCATGGGTAGTGCCACTCAGATCTCATATGGTCATTGGCCACAACCTGAAAGGGAGCAGCCCTGAAGTGGTTAAAATTAAGGTCTTAATTCTTCTCTCATTACACAGTTGCCACTGAGAGAAGTAGGAGAGCGTTGAACGTTTATATTGTTTATATTGTTGACCGGAGCAGTGAAATATCCGATTTACTGTAAGAGTGTAGATTGAAGAGGAATCTCTTTTTTCCTGCCCCAAGATCACTGCTGGCTGTTAGCAGCTCCTGCTGGTGCTGCCCTGCCTGTGCTGGCTGCTGAACCGTTGCTGCCTTTGCTGTGAAGCTAGATAAGATCGTGTATTTCCTTTCCTTCCACCACCCAGGGCTGTCCTCAGAAGAAATGGTCAAATAATCCTTGGTACAGACAGCAGTATAAACTTAAGCAGGCCGTGAAATGACTCTGGCAATGTGGAGGAGCAGTGCAATCCACTGATGGTGATGGTGTGCACACTGATGTCCTGCCCGTACAAAACACAATGTCTCTGTGCTGGAGACATGAAGCAGGGCCTCTCTGAACCCCAGAGAAAGGCCCACCAGTCCTTCTGTTCCTGCCTGGTGCAACGTGACTTCTGGTGGCGGATCCCATTTTTACGTGCTAACAAGCGGCTTTGAGCTGTGATACCCACAAGGCCAAAAGACCTACAAAGTTGTCTGAGCTGGTAACAGTCTTGCTTGAAAAATGCCAAACTTCAGCTTAACCTAGTACAAACTTCTATCTGGCCAGGAGGGCTACACTGGTAGAAAAAAATTGCCAGAGAAAAGTGACATGAGAGCTTTGAAACTGATAAGCTGCTGACAGAGCACTGTATTTCAGGCAGATAGGGCTGCAGGTGCTGCAGCCTGTTAGTGCCTTCATGGAGGGCAAGGAGCACATGGTGTCAGATGCTATCCCTGGCTGGTGTGTGAGCTGCCCATGTGGGACAGCTGCTCCCATCGCAGTGACTCAGTGATGGTTCTGAG